GATAATTAATCATTCAATGATGAAGTGGTAAAAGTTGATAAGTCGATTCGGTGATTATTTCACGAATATCTTGAAAATCAAATCAGATAACAGTATTCTTTTAGAAATTTTTCGTGGTGCTCTTCATGAGTTCTGCAAAAAAAGCTTTTGATAAAAATTGAATTATCTTCATTAATCACTTCGTTACTTGATGTCTGGAAATGATTGAATGACACGAATATTTCACGATAATACTGTGATATTATTGGCAGTCTCGGAGAGACTCTGCAAGGAGTATGAGCAGCAGAAGCGGCAGTACGACGTAGAAACAGGTGCCCTCCACAAAGCAATGCAGCAGGCGTCCCAAGTAGGCACAAACGATTTAATTACCATAAAACCGTGAAGCTCCTATATCGGTACGAATTAATCAAGCATTGCCTTAAATTAAACAGTGGTACAAGCAGAATCGCCAGCTCAAGAGGCAGTCCCTGGTGCTCACCCAGAGAATCCTTGAGTCACGTCCTGATGCACTTGCTGATGACTTATGTCTCTCTGACGAGGTCGATGCTAATGAGATTGACGATGCTGAAGAGCTACGGCAGACTATCACCGGTTGGTATCACATCAAATTCATTGGAATAATTATTAATATTTAGTATTGACGCTGATGATATCGATCTGAGGAAAAATGCGGAACCTTCAATAAAAAGGAGGGGATTCTCCGTTGGAATTACGCAATACGTATTTTTAAATTCCATATAAATATTGAATTGCTGAAAATGTAATGTTTCTTTGGTTGGAATTTCAAGAGTAATTTTGTGGTGCGTCGCAATTCGAGAAGTGAAAATAAATAAAAATATTAATAATAATAATAATAATGGCATCACGTTGGGGGAAGTTAATTGGAAATACAAATTTGAAGATTCGGAGAAAAAGAGGAAACTTCTCATTCAAAAATCTGAAACTGGTGATTAAATATTTTTTTAAACAAATTTGTCCAGTAGAGATTACCTTAACACCAATTAAGAATTCTTTTTTTATCTCAATTACACTGATTTCAATAGTAACGAAGGAGAACACGGAACTCGACAAGAAAAATCGCCAACTCCTCCGCGACAACAATGTCCTTCAGTCTCAAGTGCGCACTAAAGACGAGGAACTCCATAAACTGCGGTCAGGTAAAT